TCTTGAATTGCACCCAATGACAAATTGGTAACTAATACAGTTTAGTGACTATATGAACCATCACTAAATACAGTTTAGTGGCTATATGAATCATCATGTTCTTCACCATCTGCAGTTTCCAGGTGATATTTAGGTACAATCCCAGATAAAGCAAAATACGGAAGTTGAATAATGAGATGACAAGTTATGAATAACCATAATCAAGTTGTCTAGTCCTAAATGGTCATAACCAGAGCACCAGCCTAAACTGGGCAAAATCACAGTTCCAGCCTATTTAATTGAGCTGATTTAATTCAGAAAACATCTTCCAAATTATGAACCTGAAGAGGGAGCTTTTTATTTTTAGCTTTCTATTTTAAAGTTACAACTCCACTGTTAAAGAGAGTGAACCTGTCAGCTGCAAAGCTGACAGGCTAAGTTTGAGGCTGTTCAAGAGTTGAGCTCCTGTTACTTGCCCCAGCTCCTGCTCACCCAGCAGTTCAAAAGCAGGCAAATGTGAGTAGATAAATAGGTGCCACTTCAGTAGGAAGTTAACATAATTCCGTGCACTTCAGCTTATAGTCAGGCTGGCCACATGAACACAACAAAAGTGTCTTCGGACAGCACTGGCTCCCTTGGCAAAGAAACAGATGAGCGCCACCCCCTAGAGTCAGATACAACTGGACAAGGGAAACCTTTACCTTACCTTTTACATTTTCATCACAGAATAAGAGTTGTTACTTCCAAGGTCCAGAATGTGCAAAGTCCCAAAAGAAGACTTTGTGCCATTTCCTTTTTATGTTGTAAAAAAGCAGGCATTCTGGCAAGAAGACAAAATGATTATATGGCTTACAAAGGGAAGATCTGAAATAGAAAAGCGGAATCGGAAAACTATGCAATTGTTGCTCTGAAAAAAGGAAAAAGCCATGAAATAGTTGCCTCTTTCTTGCCAATGACCATATGAAAATCTTATTTATAACAATTTCTTCTTTAACTTCCTTTATTTATTTCCAGAGAAAATAAACAACCCCTAACATTCAAATTTATTTTGGAGAAAGGAAAAAAAAGGATAAATACATTTTAATCTAAACATACATACATATATACATACATACATATATACATATGTCGTGAAAATGGTAAATAAATCCGAGCACCAAGATAAAATCATAAGCAAAACTGTTTAATCTACAAAAGTACTTCCGGATAAGCGAACTCCCGGATCCCGTGTTTTATACTCTGACGATGTCGGTCGTTTGGCCGACGAAAGCTCAGTACTTTTGTAGATTAAACAATTTTCTTTATGATTTTATCCTGGTGCTTGGATTTATTTACCATTTTCACGACATTTGTATACCCGGGATTTGTGTTTTTAATATAATTAAGGACATATATACATATACATACATACATACATACATACTGCTGTAAAATTTGCATAAAAATACGACTCCTAGGCATGTCTATGGTACAAATAAAATACGAACACCAGGAGAGTATAAATATAAAAATATACTGCCAAGCTTTCGTTTGGAAACTCCAAACATCATCAGGGCTAAGGAGCCAGTAAACAATGATGACTTAAATGGGTTTTGCCGGCATCTGCAGCCGGCTCATGGACCGCGTCACCGGTCCCGGCCGGTTAATTAGTGTTCCAGATGTTTCTTTATTACTCTCCTTACGCTTCCTTCTATGGTTCTTCTGGATCGTTCCTTCCACTATCTCATTACTGGCATTCATCTCCACCACCACCCCTTTATCCTTATTTCCTTCCATAGTACTGACCCTCCTCCCCTTTTTGTTTTCATTTTCCACCCTGGGGGCATCTGTTTCTCCTCTATCAGTGTTACAAGCTTCCCTGGGCTCACAGACACTCCCCCCCACACACGCTTTTCTCAATCCCTGCTCCACACCCTTTTTTCTCACTCCTCCACTGTCATGAGTAACTTTCATACGGGTGTTGCATATTTGGGGGTCTATGCCCTCCTCCTCCATCCTGGCAATCTTCGTGTCGACAGTTCTCCACCGTTCCATGTGTGGAAGATCCAGCATGAGGACTCTGCAGCCTGACGCTGTGGGTAGGGGGGAGAAGAAGAACGAAAGCACGGCTCGATTGCCTAGGCATATGATGAAAGGGAGAGACACGGTGTTCTGCCTGGACCCTCTGCAGACAAGGAATACCCCCACCAACAATACAGCCCCCCCCCCCGGGATGAACACTTTGAAGTCCCCCCAAAGACGAGCACAGGAGAGGAGAGTGAGAATGCGGGGAATCAGAATGCAGAGATCTGGAGACCTGGTGTCCGCCTGAATACCGTTCCTATCAGCAACGGGGAAGAGCATGCAATAGGGAGGAGGGGGGATGATGAATTGAGAGACGGAGTTAGCCCCCAATCACCCAGCAAACAAATGGAACGGTGGAGAACTGTCGACACGAAGATTGCCAGGACGGAGGTGGAGGGCATAGACCCCCAAATATGCAACACCCATATGAAAGTTACTCATGACAGTGGAGGAGTGAGAAGAAAGGGAAAGCATTCAGAGAGAGAATAATCATGCAGATGTGGATTGGGAGAAGGAGAAGGGGAAATGCAAACCACTAGATAAACCCGATGGAGAGAACAGAGACAATCAGAGAGGCAAGGAGGTTGCTCTACTTACTTTAGAGCTCAAAGAAAAGGGCGCAGACTTTGGCTTGCTTATAAGAGACTCTCTCACTCCCTGGCGTTTTAAGCCCTGAGGATGCCGGCAGGTGACGGCGAAAGCTTTTTAAATTAAACTTTTATAGTTTTATTACCCTGGTGCTCACCTTATTTTGAATATGAATGCTCCCAGGGTTCATATTTTTAATGCTATTAACCATATATATGAAGTCCCATTCGTCATCTTCAGGCTGGTGTTTTCAGCTTCATGCTTCGAGCAGCAATGTGTGGTCTTAGCTGTTTCTTCCTTTTAACTGCCAGTGGGGGTATGAACTGATTGGGTGGGAGCTTGGCTGTGCTCTGATTGGGTGGAGGTGTGTTCTGATTGGTTATATATATTCATTCTCTGAGGTTTTCGCGGGTTTTTGTATGTAGGTCTTTGGTTATTTGGGTTTTCTCCCGCGTCAAATTGGAAGTGTCTTGGCGACGTTTCGACGAAGTCTCATTCGTCATCTTCAGGCTGGTGTTTTCAGCTTCGTGCTTCTAGGAGCACGAAGCCAAAAACACCAGCCTGAAGATGACAAATGAGACTTCATAGAAACGTCACCAAGACACTTCCAATTTGACGTGGGAGAAAACCCGAATAACCAAAGACCTACATATATATATAAACAAGCTGAAATGCTATCATGTCAAGGCTTTTTTTAAAAAAATGATAGATTTAAAGGTAGGTAAGGTTGGAAGAATTTATTTAGTCCTGACTTTTGTTTGATGCATTAGAAGAATGATAGCAGCCAAAATGTGCAACTGAAAAAGACATTTGGTTAAAAAAAAAATTGGCCAGAACATATTGTTTACTTGACTGTGATAAGTCAAGGTATCCTTTGGATTGTTTCATCCTGGTTAACCATTGTGCTTTCCCTGCCTAATTGTTTTGATACTTGTGTTGTTGTTTGCCACCCAGAGTCATCTTTATTCAGTTCACTTCAAAAGAAGAAGAAAATGTTTCTATTCTATAGCATTCTAAGACTACATTGAAATTCCCATCAGGGGAAAAAATAATACTATTTTACCTGAACTACCAACTTTTACAGTTTCTGTCCCTTTTCTTCTTTTAGTACAATGTTAAAGGTGTTGGCAGAAAGAGAATTATTGAGAAGTAAACTGACATTATAAATATCAAAGGTCATAAAGGAGTGAGAAGAAAAAGTAGCTGTTAAAAATCAAGTTTATATTCCATAGGGAAATTTTCCTGTATAGTACCTTCAAAAATAACAGTTCAGTTTTTAGTCTGCTAATGTTTTAAGGACTATTTTTTTTAAAAAAATGAAAGAGTTATATATGTGGAAGATTCCTTGCCTAAAAAGAAAATTCTTTCTTCTCCACATAAGTATAAGTTTGGCATTCAGTTGAGGAACTGTGTCCTTCTCTTCATCATTAGAGAATAATAAAGGGTTTACTCCAAACTCTGGCTGGGGAATTATGGGAGTTGAAGTCCACACATCTTAAGGGCCCCTATTTTGAAAAACACTGCTTGAGAACAAGGGCTACGGAGCAAAACCAAGCAAAACGTTAGTCTTAAGATTATATTGCTTCATGTAATCTATTTGTATTGCTGCCCAATTTTTGGGAGACCATTCCCTAAAAGAATTGACAGAGCCGATGTCTTTTGGAACAGGCTTTATTGTTGGTTCATTTTGATTAATAATTTGTTTATTTAGTGGTATTAGTTTTGTTATTTTATTTACATTAAATGCATTGATTTTATTCTTGCTCTGTTATTACGTTGTTAGAGATATTGATGGTTCATGATATACTAAGATAATAACAGCAACAATAGCAATAGCAATAATAATAAACAAATAATAAATGACTTTCATCTACTGCTGCCAGTGCATGTGCTATGATCAGTTGCATCAGTTCTGGGTCAAAGTGATTAAGTGGCTTGTAGATTTCTGAGTAAAGTTTCCTTCTTATTTTTATGTATGAAGTAATAGTTGGGTTTCCATACTGTGTCATTTTAAATAACAGCTTAAAATATTCTTGTTCAAATGCACCTTGAAAGAATTAGACTTCCTTTCAAATGGATCTTAAATACTCAACATTGTTTTCATTGTTTAGTTTATTATTTGAACTTACGTTTATTGAGTATTATTTTTAATTTTGGTTGTGCATCCTTTTGGGCTACGTCAGATAATAAGAAAAATAATATCATCCATGGTACTTGAGCTGACTGATCACCAATACCTGTAAGTGTAAGTAATAGGAAAAAGCTTAGTGCCCTATTCTTATGTAGGTCAGTTTAAAAAGCAATCACATTTTCCATGTTATTTTACTGCCATCTAGTGATAGAATTAAATATTTTTTTTGTCTTTTAAGATCAGTATTTTTATGACTCACCTGTCTAATTATGGCAATGATCGATTGGGTTTATACACCTTTGCCAATCTGGCCAATTTTGTTCAAAGCTGGACCAACTTAAAGCTGCAGACTCTACCTCCATTTCAATTGGCTCACAAATACTTTGAACTCTTTCCAGAGCAAAAGGACCCACTCTGGCAGGTAAGACATGCACTGCAAGAGTCCTGTCGTTTTAGCCACTGTAAACTTTAAATTTAGCATATGTAATCAAGTATTATTGATGGAAAGCATATAATGTGTACATGATAAAGAATGAGGTGTTTTCTCTGCTTTATTTTTTATTCCTATTAATGCTGATGTAGTTTTTAACTGCTTCAATGTTGATAGTAGCAATATTGAAAATATGAAAACATAATATGAAAAAAATGCAATAGTATTCTATGGTCACATCAGTCAGAATAAAGCTGAAAGGGACCTTGGAGGTCTTCTAGTCCAACCCTCTGCTGAAGCAGAAAACCCTAGACCAGCGGCCCCACCTTTTGGGCACCAGGGACCATTTCCATGGAGAGAAGTTTTCTGCAGATCAGAGAGTGCATGGTTTCACGTGCTGCCTGCATCCCACAAATGGGGCTTCACTTGTTTGTGTAGCCCGATTTCTGGGATGCCACAGACTAGTGCTGGTCTCCTAGCCATTCCAGACAAGTGGCTGTCCACCCTTCTTAAAAGCCTCCAGTGATGGAGCATGCACAATTTCTGAAGGCCAGCTGTTCCACTACTTAATTGTTCTCACTGTCTTGATTAGTTTCCATCCGTTGTTTCTTGTCTTACATTCTTGGAAAATAAATTGACACCCCCCCCCCTTCTTTGTGGCAGCCCCTCAAATACTGGAATATTGCTATCATGTCACCCCTAGTCCTTCTTAATCACAATAAGAAACAATTTGTCTTATACAAAGTATTTGAGCTAGAGAAATCTTCATGAATAAAGGAGAATAAAGCAGTAAAAGTAACGACTGGCATGTATTACTTCGGTCTTCTAAAGTATATACAATGAATATATACAACTCACATTTGCCAAAAATGAAAGTTCTAACATATCTAAAAGTGCACTTTACAAAAGGCTCTCAAATCTTCTGTTTAAATCACAGCCTTAAATATTAGATTTTAATATTTAATATCTTAAATATTAAGAAAGTATCATGTAACTCAGAGGGATATTCATGAATAATCATGCAAGAAGGATAATATTAAGCCATAAATTATTCTAGTATCTTAATAAAAATAAAAAATGGTCTATATTTAGAGTAGAATAAAATAAGCTCATAATTGTAAAGGAATAGTATTATTAATAGCAATATTCATTTTTTATTTTTCATAGATTAATAAGTTAAGACTTATTTTTCACTAGATGTATTTGGCTTCTGTATTTTCTTCAGTACAGCTAAACACTCGATTAGTGTTGCATAGATCAGTGCTAAAAAACTGAAAACTAATATAAGATCACTTTTCTCTCAATTTAGAATCCTTGTGATGACAAACGACATAGAGATATCTGGTCTAAAGAAAAAACTTGTGATCGTTTACCAAAATTCCTGGTTATTGGACCACAAAAAACTGGTAAAAACTTTATAAGGGTGTGATTCAAGAATAGAAGCATGTGGCCTGGGATTGTATGCCAATAACTTTTTCATATTGTTATAACTCCATCTCTCAAGACATGTAAAGCCAAGATGTTTGGACTTTTTAAATTATTTTTTAAATTGGAATGGGGGCAACAAACTCTCATTGGATCCCCAATGAATCCTGAAACAACAATAGATTCTGGTCATGCCCTCTTTGGGGAGTACCATGTATGGTATAGTTCTTGAAACCACAGCCATGCTGTCACCTGCTTCTCAAGCAAGAGCTATGAGTCTAGGACAGGGGTCGGCCACTTGGACCCATTTCCCAGAGAAAAGAAAACACTGGGAGCCACAAAACGTGTGCACACACACATGCGAGGGGGGGGGAGAGCTTGATTTAAGAGTTTAATTAAAAAGAAATAGAGGCTGCTGTGCATGAGTTCTCTCCCTCCCTCCCTCTCTCTCTCTCCCTCTCTTTATCTCCCTCCCTCTCTCTCTCTCTCTCCCTCTCTCTCCGATCTTCTGACAAGCTGACACACATTCTCTCCTGCCCTTGGTCTGTCAGTCCTCTTCCCCCACTCAGTGTGTGTGTGTGAGAGAGAGAGAGTGAGGCCATGTGTGTATGTGTGTGTGAGAGAGAGCTGCTGTTTCCTGCTGAGATGCAGCAAAGGCAGGAGCCCCACCCAATAAGCTTGTCAGCTTGTCCAAGAACAGCGTGAGGCCACTCTCTCTTTTTTACACACAGAGAGAGAGAGAGGGAGGGAGAGAGCGCAAGTGCCTCTCTCTCTCTCTCTCTCAATGGCAGAGGAGGCTGGGAGCCGCAGGAGAAAGCTCAAAGAGCCACATGCAGCTCCCAAGCCGCAAGTTGCCAACCCGTGGTCTAGGAGGACCTTCAAATTCTGTACCAGCTCAACCAGAAAGAGAACCTCATCCAGAGTCAAAGATGACATATTTCCAGGGCCTGGGGTGGAGGCAAAAAGCCAAACTGCTTCAGGGTTGAGTGTTGTCCTTTTGTTTTCATGCCGAACCCAAAAGTTTCCTTTTAGTGACTTTGCAATGTTTTACACAAAAACATTAAAGCACTTTATCTTGATTCGTTTTCCCATGTAGATGCTGCCTCAATAAAAGTCAAAGAAAGCTGTTTGTTTCTTTGTTTGTTTTTCTTTAAAATACTTTGCTTTGCCAGATTCAATCTGAGTCAGTCACCGCGAACCACAGGTTATAAGTGACCGACCCAGATTGGATCTTGCAACATTATCCTAGGACACCTATATTTGCCTTCATACTTTGTTTTGCTTTCTACTTTGTTTTATTTGCTAGTGTAAATGCGATGCTTACTAAAGGAGCTGTTTAACTCTACATGAAATAAGGATCTGATTGACAGAGTGCAGAAGTTTCATCTCAACTCTTGGACTGTTACTCTTTTTGCAGGCACAACAGCATTATATTTGTTCCTGATCATGCATCCTTCCATCATTAGTAACTCCCCCAGCCCCAAAACCTTTGAGGAGGTACAGTTCTTTAATAGAAATAACTACCACAGGGGGATTGATTGGTAAGATGGGCTACTAGTATGAATCTAAATCATTCTGTATTATGCACAATACAAAAAAAACATGCCGTATCTAATGTGTGCAACTTAGTATGAACTTTTACAATTCTTCTAAAAATTCTGTGTGTATAAGGTAGTCCTCAGCAGCAAGTATCATTTTTCCTGTTTTTGCTTGGAAATTGGAATCTATATAAACAGGGAATTGCATTAATTGTGCAAGGACTCGAAAATTAATTAAAAAGTCAGCTGCATATTATTGTGGTGTAAATGCAAATATCTAAGCGGTCAAAAGTCTGAGTTTCCATTAAAAAATTAAATAAATTTTTATTTACTGAAGCAATATATTGAAATAGGAGTGAAAAGTCTGCTACATTTTTCATAGAAATTTCTAAGCACTTCCACAATTTCAAATAAATATTTTCTATATGTACTGCGGTATATGGTATTCCAACTTCATGGGTCAACATCTCATTTCTTTTTAAATGAGCATACTTGAATCTGGCTTAACCAAGCCATTTCTTTTTCCTCCTCTCTGAAACTTTCATACCTTCCCCACACAAAATAATGTTCACTGAAATCAGTGCACTTACTTATTGGAAAATGGAAAGTGAGTTATAGCTTAATAGTATTTCAAACAAGTTACTTTTTATTATACCAAGTCCGCTAACATACATAAGTCATATTTCTACAAGTCCCATAAAATGAAAGTAGAAAGTGTTACTAAAAAAAATACTTTAAAATTTTCATTTTGAAGACAAACTCTATACCATTGGTGGCAAACCTATAGCACGGGTGCCAGAGGCGGCACTCGGAGCCCTCTCTGTGGCGTTGCCCCAGCTTTGCCTCCCCCGCGATCCCCTCCTCTCCAACAGCTCCCCTGAAGGAGAGTCACCCTCAAGTGTGGCCCACACGGAGCAGCGCAGCCAAGGACATGGCAGCCAGGCAGCGTAGACAAGACTCTGCCTTCACACCCCATTATGCAGTTGATGCTGCAGGGTGCGGGCAGAGGGTGTGGCCGCCATAGTGCTGCTGGGCTTCCTGGGCGACCGGCGGGCCCTGGAGGCGGTGTGTGGTCCTGTGGGCAGGCAGGATGGGGGCAGAGCGGGGGCGGGGCAGGGGGTGGAGTGGGGACGGGGCCAGTTTTTTGGGCACTCGGTCTCTACAAGATTTGCCATTACTGCTCTATACCATGGACTTTTAACTTTTAACAAGGGTAGTGGCAAAGACAATATGTAAGTACTATTTGAATCAATGCAAGAGCCCTGAAAACAAATGGAAATTTTGGTTGTATCACTTCACAGCTGCGATATATGTAACGCATTCTAACTAGCTTTGTAAAATGTCAAAAATTACAAGCAGATTTTTATATGACGTAAAAACCCCTTGCTGTTTCTTTGTCATAAAGATGATAGAGTTACTGCTGAATCTGACCAGTTTAAATCTAACTCAAAGCAAATCACATCCAGATCTCCTTTTCTAAAGTTAACTTAAGATGTAATACTTTCTGTTTAGAAAATACAATTACTGTAGGTAGAGAACTACAAAGCTGAAAAATCACTTGACAGTGTTCTATTTATAATTGGTTTTCACATATATGCAAGGTAGCAAAAATGATATGCTTTGCTAGAAAAATAGCTTTAATATACCCAGCATAACCTTTTCCCCCATATAATGCTGTACTGAAATATTTTTCATATTTTGTAGGTATATGGAATTCTTTCCTACACCATCCAATGTAACCACTGATTTTCTCTTTGAGAAGAGTGCTAATTATTTTCATTCTGAAGAAGCCCCTAGACGAGCTGCTTCTTTAATTCCTAAGGCAAAAATCATAACTATTCTCATTGATCCATCAGATCGAGCGTATTCCTGGTATCAGGTATAAATTTTAACAAAATGCAACTTCTATGTGTATGCATGATAAATTATGATGGTTTGCTTCTGTTATTCATTGCGCGCCATAATTATAGTCAGAAGTATGGATTATTATTGGCAAGTCCATAATTGATAGACTTAAAAACTGTCAATGAAAGCTTTTTGATCCCTTCTTTAATTGTAATTCAGATGTTTATTGGGCAGAAAGCCATCTTACTGAGAATTGACTGCTACAATTTAAGAATAAACATACTCAGCAAACAGAAGTCAACAATTTTTTCAAAACATCAAGCAAGAAAAAGCTTTATTGCTAAAACAGAAAATATAACTGTTATTTTGCTAAGATTCTGTCAAACAATAAAATGTCTTATCAAATGAAATAAATCAGATTGTTCCTTTTTCAATTTTTTATTTATTTTTTATTCAAGAGTTGAAATACAAAAAACAACCAGGATCCATCTTCCAGATTGTTATGCTTAAAAACATTGAAACAAATATTATAAGTATTACATTTTACATACTTTTGCTTCTGTATTCTTCTATACTGGTTAATCTAACCCTTGCTAGTATTAAATCCAGCAAAATGCTTGCTTTGTATTTGGCCTTGAATCAAGGAGGTACAGTAGCTGCGTTGGAAGGTGAATACTCAGAAATGAAGAAGCAGTTGTATATTCTGAACTTGAACTAACTTTGCCTTACAGTTGACATCCGTAAATTTGTTTTTCAGCACCAAAGATTTCATAAAGACCCAGCCGCTCTAAAATTTTCATTTTATCAAGTGATCACTGCAGGACATCATGCTTCACCAGAACTTAAGATCCTGCAGAAGAAATGTCTGATACCAGGATGGTTTGCCATTCACATAGAAAGATGGTTAACTTATTTTCCGTCTTATCAGGTAAACAGCATTATGTCTCAAACTATTCAGAATGTAATGAGTAGGCAGCATTTTTAGTGCTCACAAGTTTTTTAGTTTGTTTTTTTCTGGGCCAGAGCAATAGATTGCCTCAGCAAAACTTCACCTGCACATTGTTCTATTAAGTGGTGCCAGCCTGCATTCCAGGGACTGCAGCTGATCTAAAGGTGGCCCACCCATGCTGCATCCATTCCCTTTGTTATTCATTTTATTCTATTATGTGGGATATTCATGAATTTGCATCTGAGTGTAGATTGTCCAAAACCTGAATAATATGCCCTTGTACAACCTGTATATTTCTTGGCCTGACAGACTCAATTTTCCTTCTCTCTTTTAAAGAACACTTTCTGCTTATGTAATCGTTTTAAAATTCTAGCTCAGTGATGGCGAACTTTAGAGACCGAGTGCCAAACTGTAACCCAAAACCCATTTATTTATCGCAAAGTGCCAGGGCTGCATCAGCATTGTGATGCCCTCGGGGGGAGGACAGGGAGGCCCCTCTGAGTGCCGCCTCTAGCACACAAAAGCTGGGGGCGCAAAAAATGGGTCATTGCTGCAAGGCGCAAAAACAGCCGCCGCCGCACTGCGGGGTGGAGATACAAAACGCTGCATCATGCAAAAACAGGGCAGGGCTAGTGAGTATCACACAGGCACTAGCCCCACCCCATTTGCAGTGCAAAATGCTTCCCCCTCCCTTTTCTTCCAGTCCAACAATGGTTGGTGAGCTCTGCTCTACCACCTCTAGTCGAGCTTGCTAGTCGGCCGCTTCGCCTCCTTTGTGGTGGATGGGGCTCCTGCTGTGGCCAGCGGTGGCAGCCTGATGGACCTGCTGCTGGCGGTGGTGCGCATGCCAACAGAGAGGGCTCTGCGTGCCACCTCTGGAATGCATGCCATAGGTTCGCCACCACTGTTCTAGCTGTTTCAAGCAGGACCAGCTTAATGAGGTTTCATGCTTTAGGCCACTACTATTCTTCATTGCTGTCATCCTGTAGCTCCTACCAAAGACAATATCTGGTTCAAACAGTACATATCCCACTGTCTGTTAACTAGGGTAGAGTTGAAAATGATACTTGATCCCTCAACTGTCCCAAATCTTAAGTACAGTTGGTTTAGATACTAGAGAAAACTGGTCAATCATATTCAGGAAAGTCCAGTTGCCTTTTGAAAAGTACCTTTAGACCAGAGGTAGGCCACCTTGGCTCTTTTATGACTCGTGGACTTCAACTCCCAGAATTCCTGAGCCAGCATGGCTAAGCTTGGAAACCTCTCCCTTTCCCCTCACCATGGCTGGCTCAGGAATTCTGGGAATTGAAGTCCACGAGTCATAAAAGAGCCAAGGTTGCCTACCCCTGCTTTAGACTCAACCGTATTGCAAAGGGAGTATGTTACAGGTCCAGGCAACTGAGTTTCCCATTATGCCTCCAACAATAAGTGTCCCATCCATGATTGGTAATCTGTAACTTATTTATTTACTTAGTGTATGGCATCTACAGAGGTCATGCAATCACTGATGTACAAATTCAACTTAAATAAAGCATCAGCAAATATATATATGTATATATATAAGATGTGGACAATACAGTATATTAAATTAAGATAAAACCATAATGAAATCACTATAATATGGAGCCATAGAATTGCCATAGGATAGATGTTACAGTATAATTCAATATCTAAGGAAGTTAACCATCTAACTGCTTCTGGTATGGTTGCCATGAGATCATCCCAGGTGCCTTGAAGTTTCCTGAGTAGACTTTCTTCAACTATATGTGTTCTAGTTGTTCTGGAGCATCACAGTTGCATTGTGGATTCTCAGCCCTCCCCCACTTAAAGAGCTTTGCCTTAGTTCTGGCATGGCCTGTCCTGATCCTATTCAGGTGGCTCCATATTTTTCAAGACAACCGCATTCCTGGAAATGGATTTGTTGGATCTATGTTATTTGTTGGTTGGGATTATTAAAAGTTGCCCATCCTAATCACCATTCTTCATCTAGATCGTAAGACTGTGATATGTTATCCCAAATTGGATTCCTAGACTTAAGCCTGGTGAAAGGTAGTGAGTCTAATATTTTCACGCATTGGAAGATAAGCATATTTTTATAGTTTGCCATTTTGAAATTTGCGTATACATTTTTCAAGGTAAATCACATTTAATTTCTTACTAATCGATTTGGTTTCTCTTGAAACCTCATTTTATTTCTCAGTCACTAGTGGTATATCAAGCAGTTTCCAATTCAGATCAATTTCATGTAATGAAATCAACATTGATGAAATGTCAAATAAATATGAATGGATTTAAACCTTATTCAATTTGTACATCCTTTCCTTTTTAAAACTGTACTTCACATACGTGAAAAAATAAGCTTCAAGTTGCTGTTTATAAAATCTTGAATGCAGAATTGATTGTTGGTTGTTGTTTTTTCTTTCTTTCTTTCTTTGCAGTTACTAATTATTGATGGACAGCAATTGAGAAATGACCCAGCTATAGTAATGGAAGAAGTGCAGAGATTTCTTGGAGTTACTCCTCATTATAATTATTCAGAAGCTTTAACGTGAGTTAAGTTGTTGATTTAACGTATTATATACAATTAAATTGTACAGAATAAATAAAGCAATTCATACAATTGTAATTTGGCTTGATAAATCAAAATATGCATAAATATTTTATACCTTCACATAAGCTATGTTTGAATCAGGCAGTCCATAATTAATGCTTATTTTTCTAAGCTAAGAAATTGGGGTTACAAGATTTGGAAGAAAGAGAAAATTATGATTAGAAATATTCTGTTTTACTTCTACAAAAAGAATATAAAAGAGCAATGTACATGGATACACATACAAAGGAATACACACCTTGGTCAAATATCCTATTTAAAAGCCATAGTATAATTTTTTATTTATTTCTTCTCTCTAAAACATTTTTTAAACCCTTTTTCTCAAAAAGATATACTTCTAACATTTCTTTTGGAAGTACATTCCCAAAGAAACAATTAATATATCAATCAATGAATGATAAATCATTGTACTTAATAACAAGTATATTATTAATTTGATAATATCAGCATTATAGTTTGGGATTTGCTCAAATACTACTCCATTAAACCAGAAGAATGCTAGCAACTATTCACCACCATTGAATTTCCATAAATCTTCCTTTAAAATGAATAAACTGAAGTATTTCAGAGTGGGCAGAAGCTGAGATAAAGGAAGGACTGCATCTGGTAAACTGTTTCTACCTTTTAAACTGGCAAATAGAATGATATGCCTTTTTTCCACTCATTTTTCCACTTACAGCAAAAGATTTTTCATCCAAAAGCAAGAAGAACCAAAACTCATCTTTTTTTCCTTTGACAGAAAAATACAATGCTAACATCATTCACATGGCATCCAGGGTGTCTAATAAATAATTACACACAGAGACCATTTGAACTTAAACCATTTATTCCCTTGCCCTTAAAAAGAGATTGATAACCTTGGTCTGTGTCTTTGTATGGGATCTTGATATCTGTTCTCATAAGAAACACTCAGAATAATATGGTGTCCATTCCTAGCTCTGTTTCGTGCCTCGGAATCAACTCTGCTTTTGTTTGTTTGTTTTCTTGTGGCATGTATAGCAAATTGAGTTTAATTACTGAGAGATAAAGTTGATTGTCGGCAAAAAATGGATCAAATTCACTTCTAGAGCAGTTCTGTTCAGTTTTCTACTTCTTTTACTTCAGAGTGCTTAACCTGAAATACTGTGAATTATTACCAGCTGCATCTAAATCAGTGGTTCTCAACCTGTGGGTCAGGACCCCATTTGGGGTCGAACGACCATTTCATGGGGGTTGCCAAACAATGCAGTCCGCCATTTTTTCCCCCTTTTCCTTAGCTGTGCTACTCCCTTTTATTCTATTGGCTTTTGAAAGCCAATAGAATAGACTCTCTTGAATAGAGTCTAATTCTATTTGCTTTCAAAAGCCAGTAGGAATTGTCCAGGCTGTCTCTGCCCTGCTGAGCCCGCCAAAAGTCCCATTCTGCAAACGGTGCTGCACCAGTTGAGTAGTCCTCAACTTACGACCAGTTGAGTAGTCCTCAACTTACGACTGGTTGGGGGTCGCAGCATTAAAAAGGTTGAAAACCACTGATCTAAATCAAAGTGCTTGTCTTTCTTTCTTGGGCAAAATGATTTGTTAAAATGTTTCCATTTAAAACAGCTCATTTTTTCAAAAGCTCTTATTTCATTCCAGCCCTCTTACTTTTTTGAATTTGGATATTCTTATTTCAGTTTACAAGCTAGCAAATAACCAATCAATTTTGCTGAAACCAATGACACCAAACGTGGTGCACGTTTGTTACAAATATAATCCATAGAATGAGGTAGTGTAAACCTAGAACACGCAGTAATCTCTTAAGCATCCCACTGTTGTGTTTGTGAGGAGGCAGGGACAATGTACTAGTTATTTCTTTCAAGAAATGTGCTGATCATTGACTTAGTACAATATGCAAACCAAGCTAATATTGTATATGATATCAACTCCTATGTTGGCATTGAGCATGATAATCGTTGTTATATATTATCAATAGATTATCAAGATAATCATTGATACATATGCATAAATGTGAACATTAGGAACATTTTATGTATCACAACTTGTAAATTATGTATAGAAGATAGAAATACATAAAATCAATCCATGTATATGTATTTTAATGCTTTACAATCTAATTTTCTTGACTTGGAAAATCCTGAGAATTAATTACATGGTCTGCCAAACTTTTTGATTAAGAAATCTTAAAATATATTCTCTACAACTTTATATATATATTCTTTATAACTCTGTTACACTGTGCCAAATTGGAAGAATAGTGAGTCAGGTTATCAATCTGTTTTGGCCTTGCAAAAACTTCCTGGCAAAAAAATATCCATTCTATCCTGGAGATTCCAGATACCATACCTGAAATATGAAAAATCATATGCTCAATCATTAAGGTGTAGATTTATCTTGTATTTTATGTCATTTGATTTCTCTTATGAGCGATAGTCTTTTTCCTGCTCTTCTACTTCCCAGCTGTGAGGGAAATAGCTGATACCAGGAGAATAAAGAAGTCAGGCAAACCATTTTTTGTTCCTTCTGTCACTATATTCTGGACCTCCATTAAAAAATATAAATGAGAGTAATAACTATGTCCTTCCTATAGGACAGAACAAGATAGTAGCTGGCTGAATTACTGGCTCCAGTCATGTTAATTCCGTCTGGAGGTCATAAAGAGTAGGCTAAAGGTTATGCAGACAAGGCAATAAAAAGGGTTGACTATCATTTGCCTAACTAGGAAATGAAAGCATTTATTGAGTTTAAATGTAGTATATGTTTCAGGTTTGACTCACACAAAGGTTTTTGGTGTCAACTTCTGGAAGAAGGAAAAACAAAATGTCTTGGAAAGAGCAAAGGGAGAAAATACCCTCCAATGGACTCTGAGGTAAACCCTTATTTTAGATGTACAATGGATAAAGTCCACTATGTTGAAATACAACACATTTTGTGGGGGGAAACTTTGCCCTTTAAATTTGTGGCACTTAAAAATGTGTTGCTGGTACTGGATTGTGCCCATTTAGGACACAATCACATATGGATTGTCATTAAAAATTACTTAGTATTTAGCAGAAATAATTAATTTTATCTGATCTTACTTGCTAATCATGCATAATCTGCTCCCATTCTACTGAGGCTGATTGCCTCTATATTTATTTTGAGGAAAAATGTAGAATATTCAAAGAAATAGAATCTTATGTGCCAATCTATAAGTTAAGAGGTTTTCCTATAAATCAGAAAGTCAAATCATTCAATGTTAAAATATATTAGCTGGACTAGTTGAAAAGTTGTGCTGAGAATAATTATTGGTTTCATGCATTGATTTCATTCATTTCATGCCACAACCCCACAAGATGCTCAGCAGATTTAATATACATTTAACATATTCATACTAAAGAGTATTGACAGAACTATTTCAAAAATGGGTTGAAAATCACTGATCAGTTGTTTGGGAAGGGGAAGTACTAAGCCTGCATTTTATGCTTCTTGAGCTTATAAGTCAAGTGTAATATTTTAAAAAGGACACAAATGTGCAACCTAGATACTGAAATTAAAAGGGAAATCATATATACTTTCTCATCTTTCTTCCTGGTATGCAATCTCTGCTAGATGGATAAGAATTTTTGTGTGTTCATTAGTTATCTACTAATATTTATATATTTTTTTCAAATGCAAATAAGTGAAAAGGTAGAAGTATAAATAAAGCAACTGCATTATTTCACTAAATAAAATGTCAGCTTTTGTATCCATCAGTGCAGGGTTTTTCTGTCAAGCTACTACAGAGATCACAATGTGGAACTATCAAAGCTTCTACACAAGTTGGGACAACCACTACCATCGTGGCTGAGACAGGAGTTGCAAAAAGTGAGATAGCACAAGGACTCTTCTTGACTTAAAATACGAGCAATCTTAAGTTTCCAAGAAACTTTATCAGAACTAAAGGTCTTCAACCGGAAACAAAAGATTGAGATATGTGTGTTATATTGGCAACTGGAGTCTAAAAAATTATATGCATTTATCTCTAACAGTACATGGGTTTCATAACAATAGAAGAATAGATGGATGTAGCACAAAGCTTAATCTATCATGACCTTCACCTCTGTCGGAAAATGCATCATGTAACTCCTATTCAATGCAATAGGGTTGGTAAATGGATTATTCTTAGAGACCACCCTGTACATGTGGCATCAAGCAGCAAGTTTCAAATATTTGGGTTAAATTTCAAGAGAAGATCTATATAATAATTCAAAAACAGAACAAATATTTACAATTTTATATAGTTTATTCCTATCACTTTAATAATATTGTCTCTCTCTCTCTCTCTCTCTCTCTCTCTCTCTCTCTCTCTCTCTCTCTCTCTCTCTCTCTCATGTTGATTTTGTAAATTACCCCCTCTGCTCAGTTTTCAAATAGTTGAATTACAATGGTGACTTTTTTAAAAGGTGACAGAAATGTAGCACAAAATGCCAAGCTTACTCCCACTTCACAATTCTGGTTTCAAAACATAGAACCAGATTTTAAATCGGTGAATGTGGAGTAAAAATAGGTATTATTTTAAAAAGTAAGGATTCCTCCCATTTGGCCTAAATTCTGGGAATAACATCATCACAATAAAGAAGCAGTTTGCCACTGCCTTCTTCCAGAACTTTTTTTTTTTTTTTTTTTTGAGATTTCTCAGTCCAACTCATGGCTCTGGCATTTTCTGGTTGCTTCCATCTAAGTTTGACACTACTTAGTTATTGAGATCAGACAATGAGTAATATTAGTAGGTAAGAATTACCATTACTGGAATATGTGTCTATGAGAATACATTGTGTCTATTCATCATGTCATCAGAATTGGGAGTTTTCGTGGCTGTGAAGATTTCTAGAAGAGATGGATGGGTGCCTTAACTCAGCTGCTATGCTAAAACAGGGCAAAAAATACATATCCATCTGGATATGGATATGGATCAGGAAAAGTGCTAGTGTTCGTTCCATTATCCTTTGGGAGATATTGTTTTGTAATGTAAATGAGTTACATATTAAAACCAAGAGCTTATAGGATGCTAACATGCCCACCGGTCCCTCAGTTGTCACCAGCTTTTACATTCACACAACTGTTTATGTACAGAGATCCCACAGTCCTGATTGACAGCAAGAAAACGGAATATGTTCACAAACCACTTTCAACAGAGTGTTGATAAAGTTATATTGATTTAAGTATGCAATTGCTTCTTTCTCGCTTGTACCCCATCCCTTCCATATTTAGATCACAATTTAAAAGAAAAAGATCAAGAGAAAGAAGATGAAAATCAAACATTTTTATGCTTTCTGTTCTACCTGGGGAAAGCATTGGACATATCCATCCTATTATTAAGCCCACAATTGATACTAATCAATCAAATAAAAGCTAATAAAGCATATAAAAATAAATTTAAACAAATAATGTGCTCTTTTGCCTTCAAAAGCAATATGCACAATTTTCATTTTAAAGATGTGACGAAATTTTGGCTGGTATTAAGTAGCAATGATCAATGTTTTAGAAGACTACAAAGATTAAATACTATTACAAGCCAAATTTACCTTACTACCATTTGTCCCATGGTGCTTCACATCAAAACAATATTGTCAGTATTGGTTGAATATAAGCTAAAATATATACAAGGAATAAAAACATTGTTCTGTTCTACTGAAATCCATATAGTTAATTAAATATATAAAAAGTTGCCTAGCCAAAGTTAACATTTTCTTAGTTTAAATATTCTCTAAAAACACTTCAAATTGGTGTGGGCTGAAAGACATCCACAGTTTAGAAAACTTTACAGAGTAGGAAGCGTCTTTAGCTTTAGCCCAATTTCCATCAACTATTAGAAATCAGCACTTTAATATGATGTACAAGATTTTCTACTGTACCTCTGTCATTACCTTTTGTGAACAAATGTAAAATTGTTCTTGGACATGTATGCAATCTCCTGTTCATTTGTGAAAAGATTTTTTGCTGAAGAGTGATTCACTTCCCCCTTTATACTGTAAAGGTGCAGTCATTCCTGCACAATATGATAGAACTGCAGATAACTTTTATGTGGGTTTTTTTTCTTGATGGTATCTGAGTAATGGGATCTTATTAGCTGTTTGCATAAAGCGGTGGTTCTCAACCTGTGGATTGGGACCCCATTTGGGGTCGAACAACCATTTCACGGGGGTCGCCAAACAACGCAGTCTGCCATTTTTTCCCCTTTTCCTTAGCTGTGCTACTCCCTTTTATTCTATTGGCTTTTGAAAGCCAATAGAATAGACTCTCTTGAATAGAGTCTAATTCTATTGGCTTTCAAAAGCCAATAGGAATTGTCCAGGCTGTCTCTGCCCTGCTGAGCCCGCCAAAAGTCCCATTCTGCAAACGGTGCTGCACCAGTTGAGTAGTCCTCAACTTACAACCAGTTGAGTAGTCCTCGACTTACGACCGGTTGGGGGTCGCGGCATTAAAAAGGTTGAGAACCGCTGGCATAAAGAGAGAGTACATCAAAAACCGTGTTTCTATCAAGCGGCCCCTTCTAGATACGGGCTGAGAAATTTTGAGTGTTTAATTCAATACATCTAGAGGTATGAGGAAAGGCTACCCTAAAATATTAAGTTCCTAAAGAATTACTCTGCGATATTCAGCAGTTCTGTAGCAGGTTTCTGAATAAACATTACAATATGAGCCAGTATTCTGTAAATTTTGGTCTTAAAGCATTCAAAAAAATTACATCAGCATCTAATATCTTGCTTAAGTGAGAGTTCATGCCAATGTAGGCATATGTGCATATATACCCACAAAAAGAGAGACATAAGTGTATTTCACAAATCCTTCATAGTAATTTACAGAATAATATTGATGTGACTTGAGTTGGCTGTAAGAAACAGATGAAAATAAAAATCAATGTTAAAACAATCTGTCAGATATGTTAAAGGGAGTCAGGTAAAAGGAATAGAAACACGGATATTAATTACATATTCCAAGAAAAATGCATATTTTTCTATTGCAATATTTGCCGAGTTCTGCACATCAGAAAGCTAATATTAATATATTGTACAGATTATACTTTATTATTGCTAAAACGTGAAGCTTCCTCAGGAAGAATAAAATATTTCAGTGTTGATAGATGTAATATTCTCCTCATTCACATTGAATGAAAATCTATGGAAATGTATTTCTCAATATTTTTAAAATAAAATAAAACTGGACATTATTCTGCTAGTAGCATGATTTATGCACCAATAAATTGAGAAATGTTTTAGGTGTGCTAAAGTTATACCCACATTCCATTAGAACAGTACCAGACATGCTTTTAATGAGCAGCATAAATCGGATTGTAAAGTCATATTTTTGCTTTATAGCTCATATTTAATTGATCATATTTAAATGATTTAAGGTCATAAATGCTTGCATATCGCTAACATTTTTAGATCATAGAAATCCTTGCCCTAGTGATGAATAAATGTCACTATGATTTCTGCCTGATATTTAATCCACTTTATGAACGTTCAATGATGTTGCCGGTTCATCTACAGGAAAGTTATATTCTTTTCTTGGAAACTTGGGAAAAGACACAAAACTACTGTTTTAAGATATGGTCCAAAACATTTAGTTCTGTTTCTAGTATAAAGCCAGGAATATATTTCCTCATTTTCATGCAAACATGTTGTTGTTGTTGTTAATTGCAAAGTCGTGTCCGACCCATCGCGACCTCATGGACAACGTTCCTCCAGGCCTTCCTGTCCTCTACCATCTTCTAGAGTCCATTTAAGCTCACGCCTACTGCTTCAGTGACTCCATCCAGCCATTTCATTCTCTGTCGTCCCCTTCTTCTATTGCCCTCAATCTTTCCCAGCATTAGGCCCTTCCTTCTCATTAGGTGGCCAAAGTATTTGAGTTTCAGCTTCAGGATCTGGCCTTCTAAATGCAAACATATAATACTAGATAAAAAAAATTAACTGGGCTAATACAGGGGAAAATGGGCTCATGCTGAATTTCATATTTTATCCCAAAACAAAGAGTCATTCTATTTCTTTAACCTGCACGGATTTTGAAACAGGTTGTTGTTGTTTTAATGAGTATCTTGCAAGTGTTTTATAATGTTTGCACAGAAGTAAAAAGTATTCTCAAAAATTGCTACTCAAGTGCATGTAAATTTAACTGACGATTGAGCAAAGATTTTTTACTTAGATCTCCCCCTTGAGATAAGAAGATAGAAAAGATTCTTGGAGCAGCATCAGAATTCTATATTTGTTTAGGAAAGATTTTTAAAAAAGATAAACAATAGTAAGAAATATTATTTCTGCGGGATCCAATCTGGGCCGGTCATCAGGACCCGAGGTTTAGTCTTCTGGAGCCCGTCCTCAGAAACTTCTCTGTCACCAGAACATAGGATGGGCTCCCACATGAGTCCAAAAGCTCAGAAGATAAAACCTCTGATCATGGCAACCGACCCAGATTGGATCCTGCAACATTATCCTGGGACACGTATTTTTGCTTTCATTTGTGATATTCTTTTTCAACTTTTCAATTACTAGCCCTCCAGATGGGTCAGGCTAGTAATCCCATCATCCTTGGACAACCTGCTAGTCATTCAGAGAGTAGAGAATAACTACTGCAACCTTTTGAACACATCAATTGCAAGCCCAATCTCATTCACAAATTTCTGATTCCAATAAACATGAATTTACTGTGTACAGACAGTCCTCAGCTTAGGACTACAGTTGGGACCACAATTTCTGTTGCTAAGCAAGGCAGTTGTCAAGCGAGTCTTACACAAGCGTGGTTGTTTGTAATTTTTAAGTGAATCATGTGGTTGCTAAATGAATCCAGTTTCTTCCATTTACTTTGTAAATATATGCTGGTTGCTAAGCACACAAATTTCGATCATGTCACTGTGGGGGGTGCTGAGACTGGTAAGTCATTTTTTCCAATGCTGCTGTAACACTGAACTGTTGCTGAATGAATGGTTGTAAGCCCAGGACTATCTGTAAGGAATTATTTCCATAAGTATTATATCTTTAAAAATTGGAGTGTTATTAGATATGTTGAGAATACATATACACAGGCGTATTTTTCTGTCTACAATTTCAGAAATAGGGCGATGGATGTCTTGAACTCGGGATCGCCTTCTGTGACAAAGTTGGTATTTACCAAAACTTAAGCATACCTATGATATGTGGCATGATGGTATGTATGTTCCTTGCTCTAGGTCAGGGGTAGGCAACCTTGGCTCTTTTATGACTCGTGGACTTCAACTCCCAGAATTCCTGAGCCAGCCATGCTGAGGGGAAGGGAGAGGTTTCCAAGCTGAGCCATGCTGGCTCAGGAATTCTGGGAGTTGAAGTCCACAAGTCATAAAAGAGCCAAGGTTGTCTACCCATGCTCTAGGTGAAGTTATTTTTGTCCTGGACAAAATTAAATCCTGTCTATAATAAATTCACATCTAGTTTTATTGTCACCCCATAAATATATTTTCTTTTTCTATAAATGCAGTAATCTGACCATATTCACCCTGTCCGTTTCATTTTTTTAAAAAGTGTCACCTTTTTGCCTGCATATTGATTTAATGTAATTAATTCCCTGCCTTTCAATTCAGTAAAAACTCTTAAAAGAACATTTAGAATAAAAGACCAGGAAGAATTTAATAATAACAAAACAAACAAACTTCAGTGCAAATTACAAACTTGAGAGAAAATACATGGTTTAGCCTGATATTCCTTGCCAGAGTTGGCATCAAATTTTTCTGGGAAGGACTTTATACATCTAAGGCAGGGGTGTCAAGCTGCCGGCCCGCGGGCCAGACGCATCATCTGGAATCCGCAGTCACCCCATTGCTGGCAATGGCAAAACCGTTCCGATATGTTGCGCGACATCACATGACATCGCAAGTTTGACATGTCTGATCTAAGGCAAGGCCCTCTCTTCAATGTTCATCCTCCCATCATTAATCATCAAAGGCTAGATCAATAAGAAAATTATTTTAAGTATAAATCACGTGACAGTAAAAGTTCTGACAGATACTAAGAACCCAGACAACAATGGGAGATTTGAAATTTTTTAAAAAAAATCTTTAAATTGCCTTTGCTAAACCATAGAAAAACCATAATAGGGCTTGTATCCTGCTTGTTAGATTTCCATTAGTTATCTGGTTGAGAATAGAAATGCTGAATGTGATAGATTTTTGATCTGGTATAAATAGTTGTTCTGAACTATTCTAACTCTGTAACATGGATATATTTCAAGTTGTTAATTCCACTTCATTATCAAGGCCTTGTAATTATCAGATGTTTTGAAATCTGTGAATTGATACAGTATAATGTATTAAAGAAGCTCACTCCAATCAAATCCAGCAACAAGGACACAGAAGAGGAGATATAATAAACTTGAAAAGATTTGATTCAGATTGGAGACTGAGGATTTGAAGAAAGCATGAGTCAGTTCAAGTTTAACTTCATTCAAACTGCAGTAAAAGTCCATTAAAAGAAGATTTGTATCCACTGAAAGAAAAATCAAATATTGTAGTAGAAGCTGCCTGATTGACTGGGGCAGAATAAGATGCAAGTTGCAGGTATTTTTTTGCAGGTATTCACCCTGCTGGGTTTCAAGTAATGCTTTAAAAAAAGTAACGCCCTCCTTTTCCCTTTGCTTTTATGGAAGCTAACCATTCACATGACATTAAAAAAAAATATTGTTATGTTTCCATCCATGGAGTGCCAGGCTGCCTCTGGTTACTTCGCTTTTTTTGGAATGCCAAGAGAGTTGACAAGCTTGAGTCCACTCATCACTGGTTGTGCCAAGCTGTATGGGCCACACTTTGGCAAAGCTTGGCATTTCCTTGGCAGGACTTTAAACAATGTATGGAATGTAGATTTTTGTTTCTTCTAATTGCTGACTTTTTGGGATATCTGGTTGGCAAGCCTGGCTCCTCCTGAAAAGGAGAACTCCGTCATCATCAGAGTTGTAATATGCTGCCACTATTATATAGCCAGAGTCTCCAGACTTGGCAACTTTCAGACTTGTGGACTTCAATTTCCACAATACCCCAACCAGCCAATTCTGGGAGCTGAAGTCCACAAGTCTTAAAAGTTCCCAAGTTTGGAGATCCCAGCTATACACCAAAATAACCAGGTACAGAAGAATCATGATGGCAGAGCAAGATTCACAGGTAGCCCACAGAGCAAGTGGCATTTGTAGTTTGTCCACGTACACAACATAATACATTTTTGGAGCAACACGTGTC